CTCTCTCTCTCTCTCTCTCTCTATGTGACCCTCTCTCGCCCTATCTCTCACTTTCTCTTTTTTCTTTCTTTCTCTCCCTCTCCCCCTCTCTTCTTTTAACAATATCTGACTTGTTTTTACTCAGCTAAAAAGTATAAACCGCCTGGATATTGCTGCCGACCTCATCCCTGGCTTCCTCCGCTACTTCGAGTCTGGCGACGAACGTCTCGACATGTTGAGCTGTAAATTCCTCAACGACTTTGCCCAGGTGTCATCGGGGCTGCCAGTGGTTGCTCCGTACCTGGGAGATATCATCAAGCTCTATTTCACCAAAGGAGACGTCGACCTTTTACGTGAGTTGACAGGAAAGAAAACAACGACAAACAACCAAAGGGGAAGTAACAAACGTTTTGCAGAAATCGGTTTTGTTCTTGGCAAAGTTCAACACTGAAACCTCATGGCGTCTGTAGGATTAGGGCGCGATCTTCCCTTTTTCTTAAAAAAAAGTACATGCCGACAAACAAACGGGGCATAGAACACAGTAAATCGTTCTTCAAAACTGGTCCCCTCCTCCCCTCCACCACTTCAACGCCCCAACCCTACTTTTCTTATGTTCCATTAAATAGATAATAAAGAATGTTTCATTCTTGGCTCTTAATTAGTTGCGATTACTGTATCCTACTGCATCCTTTAACTTTCGTCCTCAAAGAGTATACCTCCTTTCTGGGGAAAAAATAGGCTAGGCGAACTGGCCTGCAGTAAAAAAGAAAAACGTAATCACATTGAACAACTAACCTCTCCTGTCAGAACCCTTAAATTACTGGACCGGGCTGCGACAACAGTGGTACGGAAAGGAGACATTTAAAAAGATAGTTGGCGAATTCCATCTGGGTCTGGAGTACTGGTGGGACAGAACAAGATCCAAACGTTTTGCCTTCGAGATTTATTTCTTGTTCCAACCGTACACTCCCAATTACAAGAAAAACAAACCAACCCCCCCCCACCCCAATAAAAAAAACCGAAACAAAACCACACACAAAAAACCCCAACAACAACCCAATTACAACAAAAAAAAAACCCGGTCATTTTTAAAACGCAACTGGATACCGTTCTTTTAAAGAACCGACTGATACGTTTATAATCGTGCGTTTTGTTTCTTTGTTTTCGTCTTTTATTTACAGGTGTTATCCATGATGTTTACCAGACGAACCCTGAACCGATGACTGACTACTTTCATCAGTTTCTGCTGCATTTGCAGAAGAAAGGAAATGGGGAAGTCCTCACTTGGATTGTACAGATAATATGGAAGGTCTCCAAAACACAGCCGCAGGTGTGGGATTGTTTGTTTGTTTGTTTGTGTGTGTGTGTGTGTGTGTGTGTGAGTGTGTGTGTGTGTGCGTGCGTGCGTGTGTGTGTGT